TTTTAACGTACCTAACCTGTGAAATACTTGAACTGTACCAAAGGCAAAGTGTTGACTCGCAACAGAACATAAAACCTCGCATCTCTTATAAAAATAGTAGAAATAAGGAGTTATTCATTTAGAATCAGGAAAACGTTTCGGGGAACCGAAATTGTATGCATGTATACACCTCTCAAGCTGGACTCCTGTTTAAGAGCGGCTGCAGAAAAACATGAACGTGAACGACGATACACTCACTAGCTATATAGTCTTACAGTAATGATTGCTGTATTTTATTTCGTTTATCCTGTAGGTATAATGAGATTTGGGATTATAACTTTTGTACATCTGGAACACTAGATCGCAACAGACCCGGTCATGAAGGCAAAGCGATTGGACATTATACACAGGTAAAATTATCGTGCTTATACAGGGAGTATAAAAAAAAAATGTACACCCTTTCAAATTCAAATTAAATGGTAATTTTTACGAGTACAAATTATTGTTAATGGACGATACTCAATGCGCTAGACCTAAAAATTATAGATTTAAAATGTCTATGTTAAGCCAACTCGAAAGCTACTATTGTCTAAACAAAGGAAGACTCTATCACAGATATTCATTATTTGCTTGCCAAACCCGTAGGCTACTGCACCCAGTATCGTTTATTAATTATTGTCCAAACCACTATGTTTGACCTATTCATAACTATAACAATGAAACTATAGTTAAACATGGGCAGATATCCGAGTTAGCTTTATCTGCCTATATCATTCTTACTTGGATTGCGAGCTGTAAAGACTGATTTAAAAAAAGTCATTTAAAAAGTTAATCGTTTCACGTTTATCATTTCTAACCGTCCACCAAAAATAATGCCAAGAGTTAGCAAACCACGATCACGAGTTCGTCAGCAGGATCAACGACCATCCAGTATTCAACCGTCCGTCGAAGTACCGAGCAATTTGGGCGAGTTATCAATTTTAGAGTTGAAGAACCTTTGCCGCGAACTCAACTTTTCCTGCGCTGGCGGCCGACGGGTACTTACAACCCGTCTACAAAACGAAAGAGAACGTCTAAACACGAATACGCCGCAATCCAACATTCAAACCGTTCCAGTAAACAACACGTTATCTAATTCCAACGCAAGGGAAAGCTTCAGCGCCGACCAACTGGCACAGATCACGCAGATTGTTTCGCAGTCGATTTCGTCTTTCTTCGAAAGCCACCACGCCACAACAACCGCGACTCGTGTAGATGAGCAGCCAACTATCCCGCCACCGCCAACGCCACTCGAAAGGCTAGAACAGCTTGGTCAATTTCCATTTTTAAGTTCCAGCAAGCTCCAGCAGCAGCCGACTTCATCCCATGGACCTGTTGCCTCAATCCAGCAAGCAGATGGGGGATTCACGCCAGAGATTCCAAACAAATACGTTCGTGACATCGAAAGTGGTGAGTTTTTTGAGCTTGCTAAATTATTGCCAAAAAATTTAAATAAGTTAAATGTTGGTTCCGATTCTTCTGACAACGTGGGTTTCACAATTTCCTCTACGGGAATCTCATTAACGCCGCGCAAGCCTCAAGTGCGAGTGTCCCTATATGTCGTGTGTCGTGTGTCGTGGGTTAAAAGTCGTGTGTCGTGGGTAAAGTCGTGGGTAAAGTCGTGGGTAAAGTCGTGGGTCATAAAATGTGCTAAAAACGCATTTTTTCGTATTTTTATTTTTAATATTTTTTTCGTACTTTCTCCTTCTATGCGCTAGATAAATACAGGAAAATTTAACGCAACAAATCTCCAGTAATAAAACAATTTCTTATCTTGCTGTTATCTTTAGTATAACAAGTAAATGTTTCCGTTTCGTATAGTCTTATAATAAATCTATAAATGTATTGTTTGATAATAAAATGTTCTAAGTTATAGGATATTAGGATATAGGTTTATTAGCTTTGGAAGTGTTATATCCCTATCATGAACGTCGCGAATAACTATGTCGATTGCATATGTCTTGATGCAAACATATTGAGCTATAAATTCTACGTAGCCAACGCTCGAGCCTCAAATTTTGCTATTTTATTTCCTAGACCTAGTATATGTTCGTGGCCCTTAAAAGTAGACAAACATTTCATGTGTATGTGGCGTTCGGAAATATTCCATAAATTGCTACGATTTGGGATTTCGCGATTGAAAACCGAAATGATTTGTGTGATGTCTATGGGCGGCCGTTACCACCAAAAATACTACACGTATGAAATGAATGGACATAAACAGAAATCATTCATTACAAACACGAACGAGTCATCATGTTTAGAAATGCTTGAACCTAACGTAGTGATATGACTGGACAAGACCAGAAATGATTTGTTTAAAATTGAAACGATTCACTTGATTGTGTAT